CAAGGATTCGGTCATCTATCCTAACTTCTCATATGGCACGTGATTATGCTCCTCTAAAGTGCCACAAAATGCTTTACAATGACTTACGTGCTATTTAAAAAATAAAATTGTTTTTGTACCAAATAAAAGTGAAATACAAATAATAAAACTACCCTGGAAGAGAAAAATATTTACATAAATGGCATATGTCAAGCTGATGCTGTTATTTCTATTCTCTCTACTGCATGGCACTGGATCTCAAAGATACTGGTACTGTAGAAAAGGGACAGTTTACACTGCAACAAGACTACCACCAACATCCTCACAGGAAGGTTCATCTGTGGGGATACAAAGGGTTTCAACTAATTTGGCTGGAAAAGGTACCATCCCAGAGGTAGAAAAGAATAAAAAGTGCATAAAGTGAGTGTTGTACAATATGAGAACTGAAGTATTTTCATATTAGCTAGGTATATAGAAGAACTGTGATAAATGTGTGTTTACCATGAATGCATGAAGTGTAGTGAATATAAGGTTGGAGTAGCTACAAGCACTGAATGCGACTTTCAGGGGAGTACGCAGAGTTGGGAGAGTAAGGGAAACCGTAATCTCTTTGTAAAAACCTAATCTTGTTTTTTATTTAACTGTTTAAACTTTAGAAACACATCCAGGGACTTAAGCAGAAATACACAAGCTCTCCACTTGACAGCAGCTGTTAATAAGAAAATCAGCTTAAACTTTTCTCTCTACCCAGAGCTGAGCAAACTGAGCATACAAGTAGAGGCAGCTCAATGTGACTTAGCACTGAGTGCAACTTTGAGCAGAGTTCTGAGATTTGAGTGAGTAATTCAGGAGAAAGATTTCAGATTTCTAGGGAAGGAGGTGGTCCTTTGCTTTTTCTAACTTAGTCAACAGCTGGTTAAGTCATTTTGGTTTATTCTATTGCTAAAGTTTAAAATAATAAAGGAACTGGAGATTATATATATACACACACATACATATAAAAAAGAAAATGATTAAAAGTAATTAAGTAGTTAAGCAAAATATGTTAAGGTTAACAGAACATGTGATTTGTCACATTTGCAGCACATGCGAACTTCTGAATGAGAGTGAGATCCAGGGCAAACACAGCTGCAGAAGTGTTCACATTTCAAGGAACTTTGATTCAGTCACTGAGCTGATGCCAAGTTAAAGACACTGTAACACATCAGTAAGTCGGAACGTTACCTGGATATTTTACAACAAGTGGTGGTTACACCCATCAGGATAGGGTTTTCTAATTTGATCAGTGGTCAAGGACAGGGGAGTGCAGCTACTGGTGAGACAGGTAAGGGGACCTAAACGACAAAAGTACAGAAAGCATCAGCCTTTGCAATTACTGAACAAGCCTGAGGTTTTGTTTTCAGAAACTGTTGGCACCACAGTACAAGAAGACATTCAACTGAGTGGAAAGCAATGTAGTGGCAGTCAGGGATGGTACAGCAAGGAGGACTGACATGGTTTAACAGAGCCCAGAGGCTGTCTTGCCTGCCCAGCGCTAGATTTCAGAACATCTGCTCCGGATATGAGAGAAACTTACAGTGGGAAAGGGAAAGATCCAGTGATGTTCTGTCATCAGTACAAGAAACTAGGCAACAAATTAATCAGAGCCTCAGAAAGTAATAATCCAGAGCTTTTTAAAACATGTGCAAATTGGCATAGGGCAAATAGGATTAGAGAAAGGGGTGAATGGTTCAAAAGTGGGGGAAGTTAGTTCCACTTCACGGGGCACTTGAAACCAGAACTGGGAAAATTGAGGGCTGTACCATTAGCAATGGTCACACCTGCACTATGCTAGCGAAAGTGTTTTAGCCAGTCGTGTAACTAAAGGAGTAGAGGGTGTTTTAAAATGACTAGGTATGAGAAATGACAAGGGCATTGACGAGGACTTCTGGGAGTGGTGTACAGGCCCCTGTTACAACTGAGTGGACAAGTACACTGTCTCTCTCTGATCCAGTGACTCCATGGCTTATCCAGTTACTGACTGCTTTCTCTATATTAGAATTAGAGTAAGAAGATCCATCAACCAGGTTTCTTTAAATAAACACAAAATTGATTATAACAAAACTTATTCAAAAACGTTGAACCACTTCACAATTCAGCTCCTAAGAATATCAGTCACAAAATATTAACTCTGTTTTTCTGCCCACAAATGCTGCCAAGCCTACTGAATTTCTCCAGCTTTTTTTTCTTTTTATTTCAGATTTTCAGTATCTGCAGTATTTCGCTTTAATCAGGCTGTGTTCTTGCCTATGTGCACATTTCCAGCCAACAATCAGTTCAATGCTGTAAACCTTCAAGACACCATTGAAACACAGTCAGATTTTCACCTCAAACATGTTATAACGGCCAATAGTAGCAATCTTAATTTACGTTCACTGGAGACAAGTTAATCCAGAGAAGTCCTTAGCCTTCAGGTTAAATACACCATCAGATCATAGCAAAATACTTAGGTTTACCAACATCTGACAGTACAGAAAGGGTTAACACTCCAGCTCAACATCAACCTGAGGCGAGCACTGTTTCATTTTACACAGATACTGTCAGACCTGCTGAGCATTTCTAGCATTCAATGACATCTAATACGGGTTATTTGTATACATCGCCTTCTAAAGCTCCCAGCATTGGAACATTGAAGGAGAAACAAGAAGAGTGCTCCCATAGTTTAAAGAAAGATTACAACCATTTTGAATGTTGTTATTCGCTGCTTTTAAATCAGATTTGGAACAGCCATGGTTCTTTTTAAGTGTCCTCATCCTTTTCTCCATTTTGGGAAAAAAAATTAAATTCTTTCTACTTAGTACTCTGAACAAATAAAAGAAAATATTTAATCACATTGTCATTTCTCAGCCACGAGGTTACGTATTCACCAGACAAGCTCCACGGGTTTTAATGGATGTACCCAAAAAATTCCTTGGTCCCCAGAATGGCTTCAGGCTAATCCAAAGACAGAATTTACAACATGCAGCTCAAGTCATTCATACTGGTATTTATTCTCCACACTATCCTACTTTCACCACAGTTCATCTAAACCTAACTGCATAGCCTTCTATTCCCCACTCGCTTATGCAAGGGCCCAGCTTTCCTTGAAAACAACAACTGTTCATTGCAGCTATGTCATCAGGTACAAAGTTCCAAATTCTAAACACTTTTGGATAGAGAGGTTTCTCCTGAATATTTTTATTGAATTACAAGCTTCCACAAAAACCAGTAAAGCAAATCCACAACATTTACAGATAGATGAAATTTGAAATTGCAGGTCATGACGACAAAGATACAAAATTACAATCGTCTCCAAAAAGGTACCTCTAAAATCAAAACATGAAAGCTAAGGGTTAAGGACATAGTGGAAGTATTCAGATATAAAAATGGGTACAAGGCAATAAAGTAACAAAGTGCTCCCAAATTTTGTGTTAAAGACTATAGATCATTGGAATTTGAGAGAAAGTATGAGTTGGAGCGAGAGACAGCACAATGACTTAGTTTGATGTATCACTGTCACGTGTACAAGGTACAGTGAAAAGCACTTAAGTGCTTTACAAGTCCATCAGGGTAACAGAACAGAGTGAAGATACAATGTTACAGCTGCCGAGAAGGTGCTGAGCAAGAGATCAATATTAACATTAAAGAGGTCCATTCAAAAGTTTGATAACGGCAGGGAAGAAGCTGTTCTTGAACTTGTTTGTACGCGTATACAAACTTTTATATCTACTGCCTGATGGAAGAGGGTGGAAGAGGGTATAATCAGGGTGGGAGGGGTCTTTGATGATGTTGGTTGCTTTCTGGATGCAGTGGGAAATATAGATGAGTCAATGGTGGGAAGTTAGTTTGCGTGATGGACTGGGTGGCATTCACACCTCGCTGCAGCTTCTTTTGATTTTAGGAAAAAATAGTTGCCATATCAAGCTGTGATGCATTCAGATAGAATGCTTTCTATTGTGCGTCTTAAAAAAAAACGGTAAATGTCTTTATGGACATACCAAATTTCCTTAGCCTGAGGAAGGAGAGGCGTTGCTGTGCTTTCTTAGCCGTAGTGTCAATGTGGATGGGCCAGGGCAGATTGTTGGTGATCGTCATTCCCAGGAATTTGACACTCTGAACCATCTCCACCTTAGCATCACTGATGCAGACAGGGTGTGCCCTCCACTCCACTTCCTGAAGTCAATGACCTGCTCCCTCATTTTGCTGATGTTGGCGGAGAGATTATTGTCTTTACACTATGCCGCTAAGCACTCTCGCCCCACTAATGAGTCTCTATGTTAACAGGTGAATGACTAGAATGTAGGGGTATATACCAGAATTATTTTTAAAATATGGGGTGGGTGGGGTGGACATCATACAGAAGATAATGTAAATATTTATAGTGCAAGTTTGAGGTAATGGCCCTTCCCCATCTTTAACTGCCACCCTAGTTGAGGCACTGAAGCTCAAATTAAAAAGTACATTTTCTGCTTACTGCCAGAGAATCTTACATTACACAGCAATCTTGAACCTGCACTAACATTAACTACATTGTTCCTGAGCTTGTCAATGAACAAAATAATGCAAGTTACCACCCATATCTAACAATACATATTACAGGTGGAGTTATCTTCTGCAACTGCATCACCATGACTCTTACACCTACTTTACCAAGTCCTTATTGTGCACAAGGAGGAAAATTAAAAATGCAACATTAAGAGATCTTGCAAATCCAAAGCAATTATTAATTTCAGATCATATACAGTCTATGTACATTGAAAAAGCTGAATTACTTTTACAAGTGCAGCAAAGTTATACGAGGCAAATGTTAGATTTTGATGTGCATTACTTGCTTGTATTTTGCTCTCAGATCATGATATCATCATCTTATTAAAAGCATGCAATATGTTCCTTCCAAAGGAAAAGGAGAGGACTGAATAAAAAAAAATTAAAGTTCATGTGGAGTTATCAAATTAAAATAGCATCACTACACACAAACGAAATAATTACAGAATGATGGCAGACAAGATGATAGTGGTAAAACCTATTAATTCTATTATCAAAGTAACATTCCCAGTATAGCATAGGTATGAAATTAACACTGGTTAGAGCAACGCTATTAGTGGCACGACTTCAATATGATAACTGCAACAAACTTTGAATTTCTAACAGGATTCAGAACATGCAAAAAAAAACTGAAGATCATGTGACCACAGTCTACTGACTGGAGGAGTGTGGTTTTGTGACACATTTTAACATGACAAAATGGACAAGATGGCAAAGTCATGAGATTTTTGTGTAATTGTAGCAATGAGGAAGCAAGAAATGAACTTAAGAGTTTTATTCAAGAATACATTGGAATTAACAATATCTTGAACACTCATTTTTGTAAATATGCTTCATAGTCAAATTCTCATCAATGGGGGAGCCAAATGAGAATAATAATTTAACTGATGGTGATGAATCACCAATTAATATTATTAACCCAAGGACCGATTAAATTTCCATTTTTATTTAAAAGCTTTGCTACCCATAGGACTCCAACTCCTCCATCCAGTCTCATCTTATTTTCTGACATCAGAGCTCATAACTTAAAAACTGAAATTGAAAAAAAAAACAGACCTCTTTGTAACTATTTGTTTGAAGAGGCATCCGCATAGAGGGAAGCAATAGTGACGTTGAGAGGTGGGAATAGGTTTGAAATCCCATAAGCCAACATATTTTTCGAAATAGGGTTCTTTATGATGGAAGTCTCTCCTAAAAGAAAACCAGTACGGACAAATTATGCTTCAAGATTAAGGGCGAGGCAGAAAACTACAAATGAAGACTGAGGGTCTGTCTTTATTCCCTATCCCAACAAGCAGTGTACTTTATAATATGGGATCATTACTGATTACAGAAGTTCCTTTCTTCTTCATTGCTGTAATTGCAACATTTGCCTTTTTGTAAATTTCACGACTTCCATGCCATCTTACCCATGTCATATTAGCATGTAGACTGTGCGCCATATGATCCAGCCAAGAAAATCTTTGTAATGCCAATGTTTGAACCAGGACTTCATTTCTTGCTTTCTCTTAGCTGTAAATTATAAGAATAAATTTTTTTAAAAAATAAACTCCGTAAACTCCAACATTCTTACCAGCTTGAATTAATCAAACAGGATCTTGACAAACACACTTGAGTTATATCAATAAATTCTAGTTTAGTAAATTATAGTTGTCTGGAATTTAATCTGTGGCTTTCAGCAAAAGCCAAGTGAGCTAGAGCTCAACTGACATGTAAAATGCCTGATTTCAAAGGTCTCAGTGAATTCAGGTGAATATTTCCTACAGCTCTGCTGCACATCTCCAAAGCAATTTCATACATAAAGAACAAAAGGAACAGGGCGAGTGGCTATTTGATCCATCAAATGGCTCTGCCAAACAAGATCTGATTGCGCCCTTTAATTCATGTTCTGGCTGCCCTGCCCCCAAATCATTTAGCTCCCTTGTCAAAAGTCTGACTAATTCAGCCTCTAATACATTTAATGCCCCTGAGGTGGGGAGAAGAGAATGCTAAACACAAACAACATTGAGGAGGAATCTCATCTGTCTTAAATGAGAGATCTGTTACTTTCAAACTGTGTCTCATGGTTCAAGGAGATCACCTTTCATTGTAAGCTCTAAATACATTTGCAGATTTACTAAATTGACTCATATCACTATCCTCAGCAAGATTAAGCATACCTGTATATCTGAAATAATGAAAGTACAGCAGTTGGATCTATTAAGTGACATTGTATCTTATACATAGTAGCAGCCCTGAAAATTTCAACAGGCCCAAAGAGAGAGTGTGTTGCAAATAAAGCAAGGCTGCAGAGAAGAAAACCTAGAATATTCTGATGATCAGGGTGCCTCATCCGTTACCAAGAGTATTCTCACTAGATCTATTTTGGAGACTGATAGCAAAAAACTATGAAAACGATTAAGGTTTTAACACCAGGCAAGAAAAAAAATCCGAATCCCCTCATACAATATCTTAAATTGCTTACACCACTTGCAACAAACAACTGACCATAATGTTTTAACTCTACTGTGACAAAGCTCAAGACGTTCATTCCAATCACAACCGTAGATTAGAAAGAATGAAACAGCGATTATGTGACCACTCAAACAGGTGCAGTGCAAACATCTCACATGCCTATCATACTTCCCTGAAATTTCAGTGACAACTGTGCAATTATTTCCACCATCTTCTCCAGCAAGAAGCACTTTGTGTGCCCACCACCCCCACCTCTCTTCTCCCCATTTCAATGTCCAACTCCCACTCCCCAGCGCGGTTCCAAACCTCTGGCTTGGGGGCTGACAACAACCTTTGCCTGGAGCTCTACAGCAAACTGCCTACAATTCGATTGAGGATGAATGGAAGGAAGCGAAGGCACTGAGACATACATACACAGACAGACAGGTCAGCAACAGACACAAGCCCCGGTTGTCAGTCTACAGGAAGAGAAAGACAGAGAGAGAGAGAACGGCCCTCTCTGTCCCCTCGGCCGGGGCAGCGCCCACTGTCCTCTCTTCACCATCGCCTCCACAAAGTCAGAGCCAACTCACCTCGAGCCGAACACCTTGGTGCAGCTCATCCGCTCGCTCAGGTCGCACATGGCCACGTAGCCGGGCTGAGTGGCCCGGGCGCTCTCCACATGGTACGCGTAGACGGACAGCAACACCCCTAGCAGGCACACGCTGCCCCGGGCCAGTTTCTCCCATTTCGGGGTCGCCACTTTCAGGATGGGCGCCGACATCTTCCCCTCTGCCTGCCGCTGAGGCCGAGACGTAGCGCGCTCTGATTGGCCAGCCCGGGACATTATCCACGTCACCGCGTACCGCCCCGCCCTCTGTGACGTCACCGGGTGCGACTGGGCTCCGGGCGGGACAATGGGGGCGGGGCCTCTAGAAGGAGCTGTCAGAGCTCTGGCTTCCAGCCCATTCAGAGACCAGTGTGCCCAGCACAGTACTGCAAGGTAGACCCATGTCCTGCACCTTGTAATGCCCTTTTGTTCTAAAATTGCAATCATTCAACCAGTTTTTTTCTTCTTCTTTGTGCAATATCAGTTTTATTACTAAATGTAATTCATTTCTCACTGTGAAAGAATATTTCACGGTCACATCAGTTCACCAGTCTGTAGAAACCCCAATGTAGTATCATATATTTCTGTACTTGTACAAATTAAAATATGTCCATCACTCTTTGACTCTCAATTTCATCAGCATTGTCATTGTTGGCGATCACTCACTAACAATTATGATTGTCCACGTAGGAAATTCCATGTCACTGGTCATGCATACTGTGGGTCCTTCTGTGGCTGATGAGCCTGATCCTGGGGCAGCATTTCTGACCACAATTCATTATTAAATATAAAAATAGAGGTTAACGTTTTGAGTCCATTGACAGTTGGAAGGGTTAACTCTGATTTCTCTTCACAGATGCTACCAGATCTGCTGAGCTTTTCCAGCAATCTCTATTTTTGCTTCTGATTTACATCATCGGTAGTTCTTTTGGTCATTATTAAATGTAATTCACTTCTCAGTGAAAAATTTGCACTGTCACATCAGCTGTGTCAGTTGCTTATCAAAACCCAAAGTGGTTTCCTAGATTTCTACAGTTGTACATACTAAAACATGTCCATGCCTATCAATTTATTATTAAATACAGTTCATTTCTCAGTGGAAAAATTGTAGTGTCACATTAATTCATAAATCTTTCAGCTACTTATCAAAACCCAATGTACTTTCATATATTTTTAAAGTTGTACAATGTAAAAGAACTTGTTTTAAATCATAGCATGTAATTTTAAGGCAAAATTTCTTATTTGAAAATGTGTAAATATTTGCAGATAGCAAATAAGGACAATTGTATATTAGTGTTCTCACATCATTTGAGTTTAATTAGCAGGAATTAACATTGACTTTTCTGATCCCGACCTTGGATGTTTACAACAATAAACTGTGTAGTGGTTGTAATGAGGTCAGCCAGGTGGCCCTCATAGAATATGTGTTCCCTGATTGGGGCTGTTAATTTGGTCCAGTTAGGAAACCCTGGCTGACAGATATAAGCAGGAGTGTCGGAGGTTCTGCCGACTCTGAGGGCTAGCTCTGAGGGAGCTGGATCATTGTCAAGGACTTTCCACATGTAAATAAACGGTGACTTGATGACAGGTTACTGGCCACTCTGGAGTTATTTCAGTGACAATGAGAGAAAAACATGCTCCTGTGGAAATCCACTCACACTCATCTCTGAGTTGTGGTAGAGATAGTAGGAACTGCAGATGCTGGAGAATCTGAGATAACAAGGTGTAGAGCTGGATGAACACAGCAGGCCAAGCAGCATCAGAGGAGGAGGAAGGCTGACGTTTCGGGCCTAGACCCTTCTTCAGAAAATTTCCCATTTCTAAAGAAGGGTCTAGACCCGAAACGTCAGCCTTCCT